TGTCCCCCAACTAAGGATTATATTATCTTCTCTTGAAGTGTTGGGAATCAAACACTACGTTCTGGGAAACTCTACCACTGAGTTATATCCCCAGCCCTGAGACTGGGATTTTTAATGAAGGAGAGGTTAACAGACCAAAGCCTCAAGAGTTCTGGATTCCAATTTTGGTTATGAGCAGGACTCCAGTGTGTCCTAGTGTTTGATAAAGTAGCAAGGGCTTGAACTAGCCACTGAAGGAGAAGGGCTCCATGCTGCAGCTTCTCTGCTGAGGGTTCCTGGCCTTTGGCTCTCCAGTAGCTTGATTGGTTGTGGACGATGCTGTTTTGCCAGGACTGCTTGGGTACATGGTGTGCTAACCTGACTCTCAGGGTCCTAACATCCATCTAGATTTTTCTTTCTATTCTCTTGAGACAGTAATGCACAGAGTCCCAATTTTTTTTTTGTTTTTTTGTTTTTTTTTGTTTTTCGAGACAGGGTTTCTCTGTGTAGCCCTGGCTGTCCTGGAACTCACTCTGTAGACCAGGCTACCCTCGAACTCTCGAACTCAGAAATCCACCTGCCTCTGCCTCTGCCTCCCAAGTGCTGGGGTTAAAGGCATGAGCCACCACCGCTCGGTGAGTTCCAACTTCTAACTTCTTGTTGGAGATACTTTTTTTTTTTCAGCAGTGTTGGTGTACAAGGGCTTCACGTCTATTGGGTACATGTTATACCCTTAGCTACAGCCCTAGACCGGGGAATGTCTTTTAGCTATCCAGATGTCCAGTGTGCAGTGGGATTCTGAAATCTGTAGTGAGCAGAAAGTATATGTGTGTGCACCTGTGTATGAGTGTGTGTGCATGCATGCGTTTGTGTGTATGTGCACATGTATGCGAGTGTGCGAGTGTAAGTATGTATATGTGTGTGAGTGTGAGCATGTGTGTGTTAGTGTGTGAGCGCATGTGTGTATATTTAACAAAGTGCAGGGGAGAGTTGTATTATTCCTTGGTGTTGCAGGCATTTCTGAACCACTTCATGTGGGTGCTGAGAAACAAACTCTGGTCCTCTGGTAGAACAGTAAGCACTTAACTACTAAGCCATGTCTCCATCTCTCCAGCCCCAGAAAATCTATGTTGAAGGGGACATGCCTTTGGAAGCTACCAGCATTTAAATGGCCTTTACATTTTAGTGATGTGTAGGGCTGGAGAGACTTTGCAGTTAAGAACAATTCTGCTCTAGCAGAGTACCCAGATGTGATCCCTAGTACCCACATGGTGACTAACAGTGGGTCTCTAACTCCAGTCCCAGGGTATCTAAGCCCTCTGACCTCTTCTGGCTGTCATGGGTACCACATACACTTAGTGCACACAGACACACAAGCAACACACACATAGATTAAATAAAAATAAGTGAATCGCCAGGAGTGGTGGTGGCACACACTTTTGATCCCAGAACTTAGGAGGCAGAGGCAGGTGGATCTCTGAGTTCAAGGCCAGCCTCGTCTATAGAGAGACTTCTGGGATAGCCAGGGATATAGAGAAACCCTGTCTCAAAATAAATAAATAAATAAATAAATAAATAAATAATATTAAAAAACAAATCTTAAGAAAACTGAAGCCAGTGATTAAGTCACCCACACCAGTGATACTCAGCTCAGGATGCATGTCAGAATAATGCCAGAATTTGAAGAAAAACCAAACACCAATGCCAAAGTCCCTTGTCCCCAACTGATGAAACAAAACAAAAACAACAACAACAAAAAAAACACATCAGAGCTGTATGTTTGAGCCTAGCCATGGGCATTCTTCAAAGGTTTCCAGGTGATTTCACAGGCCGAACCAAACTTTTATCTGAAAGAATCCTGAGAGGATCAGTAGCAGAGAAGATATCGGAAGCGCTGAGGCTGGTTCTGGAGGAATGTTTGTTTGGCTCTCCTGGACGAAAGCTTTGGATTCAGTCCCTGAGCACCGGGAAAAAGGTGGGCCACTATGAAGGAGACGCTGTAATACTGTAATTGAGCAGAAAAGACCCCTGGAGCTTTCAGGAAGGGCAAGGAGTCCTGCGGGTCCCAGGATCTCAGTGTGTAGCTTGGTCTGGTAGATAGTTAGTGACTTTGCAACATTATGTAATGGAAAAGTAGAAAAAGAGGAAACTGAAGTTAGGGAGAGAGAGGGGTGAGAAACTGGAAATGAGAGTAATTGAACTGTTTCGAGGAGCTTCGGCATGAAGCAGAAGAGAGAAATGGGAAGGAGGCAGACGGGGGAATGTGAGGGTCAAGGAAGGCTGTTCCTCATATTTGAAGTCAGAGAACATCTGCCATTTTTCTGGGATTGGAAATGGTGATGGTAAGCTGCTCAAGTTGGTGAATGAATGAATGAATGAATGAATGAATGAATGAAGAGAAACTGGACACCTCCTATGGGGGCCCATTCTAGAGACAGACACAGGGACAGGAAAGAAAAGATGCATGAAGACGCTGGACCCTTTGTCAGTGCGGCAGAGGCGGGCGGATGTTCATGTCTGCTCACTGCTGATTCCTGACAGTGTCTTAGGCTGTGAGAGTAGATGGAGGTGGAAAGCTTTGAAGATGTCTTGGTTACTGTTCTGCTGCTGTGACAGGATGCCCTGACCGAGGCAGCTTATACAAGAGAACATTTACTTGGTGACTTGATTACAGTTTCAGAGAATTATTCCGCGTTCGTCATGGTGGGGTGCATGTCAGTATGAAAGGCAGGCATGGCACTGGAGCAGTAGCTGAGAGCTCACATCTGATCCACAAGCAGGAGACAGAAAGATACTCTTCCTAGCACAGGTTTTTGAAACCTTAAAGCTTAACCCCAGTGACATAGCCCTTATCAAGGACACACCTCTCAATCCTTCCCAAACAGTTCCACTAACTGGGGATCAAGCATTCAAACCTCTGAGCCTCTAGGGGTCATTCTCATTCAAACCAGCACAGAAGGGCTCCTCTGAGCATGAGCTTCCCAGGAAGCTTGCAGAGCCTGCCTATGTGAGACAACAGTCAAGCCTTTGATAGTGGATTTCTCCAGATGTGGGCAGCTGTCAGTGAATTCACCAGAGGCTGAGGGCTTGACCAGTCAAATGAAATAGGAGGGAAAGACCAACTCTAAGTTCGAGGTGCGGGGAAAATAGAGTGTAAAGTTAGGGGCAGTCAGAAGACGCTAGCAAGCAAGCCTGATTGTCACTGTCTTGAGCACAGGGCTTGGGAGTGTCAACGTGTGGGCAAGGTTAACATGGGTGTCTATAATCTCATTGTTGAGAGGCTGGGGCATGAGTTTAGGGCAAGTGTAAGCTTCATAGATTCTATCTATGAAGTAAGTGCAGCTGAAGCAGAAAGTCCAGGGATTGAGAAGCCAGATTCTTGGAAGCAAAAGCAGCAGCTTATGCACAGGTGGAGAGTCCAGAAGCAGCAGAGAGCAGAAAACAGGCACTGGAGTCTTAAGGAAATTTAGTTTGCTCTGGAATGCTGGGACCTTGAGAACAGAGCTGAGGCTACCTTGAAACAGGATGTTCCTCTCATGACTGGAACAGTGTAGGCACTGGTAAAACTCTCCATGTGCATGTGTGTGGCATGTGTGTGTAAGTATGGGTTTCACATACATGCATGCATGTGTGTGTGTGTGTGTGTGTGTGTGTGTGCATTGAGCATCTTTCTTCACTGCCTTTTACCTTGCTCAGAGTCACGGAAGCTGTGGCTCACTGGTTCTAGCTAGTCTACCTAGCCAGTTTGCCATGGGGATCTTGTCTCTGCCTCCCAGGAGCTGAGGATACAGGCAGCATCTCATGGTTGCTGTTTCGTGGATTCCCACAATCTTGATTCAGCGAGCTATCATCCCACCCACAATCTCAACAATACTTAAAAAAAAATAGTTGTTTCGTTTGTTTTTTATGTGTATGGATGTTTTAAGGGCACACATGTCTGTGCACTGCATGCATGCCCATGGAAGCCAGAAGAGGGCATTTGGTTCCCTACAACTGGAATTAAAGATGGTTTTGAACTCGGATCCTCTTGGCAGAACAAGCAGCCAGTGCTTTTAACTGTTGAGCCATCTCTCTAACTCCCTACCCCATCTCAAGTGAAAAATCTTAACGAAGGATTAGATCGAATATATAATTTAGTCTTTTTGGTGTTATGAGGATTTGGGGGGAGGTGTTGGAGCTTTTTGTTTGTAGCTTTGTCTGACTTAGGACTTGCTATGAAGACCAGACTGGCCTCAAACACAGAGCTCCACCTTCTTCTGCCTCCCAAGTGACATAGCCTGTGTGTCTTCTTCTCTGTGTATGTACGATGTGAAGAGTGAACTCAAGGTCCACCTCACACTGAGCTCTGACTCCCTTCCCATATGACTTTATCTTATTTTTAGTTTCTTTCTAGTTGATGAAACAGCCAGAAGTTCCCCAGATGTGTCTGCTGACTGCCTGAATCCCATCAGCAACGAGTGTTTTGGATGTGAACAAGTGATAGGCCTTCTGCCTGTCCCTCACCCCCTACCCCCTAGTACCTGGGACTTCTGTCACAGCTTGGCTGCTCTGCTCTCCTCTAGTCCCTCAGATCCAGCCTTCCTATTGTTCCTTGCGAAGTCTAACTGGTAGCTTTTCCAAGGATGAGACCCAGTTTACTGCAGGACAAAAGGCCCTTGACTGGTCCATGAATGACTCTCCTGAGCCTGGAAAGGCCAGGTTCACAGCCTGCCTGGTTGAGCATGCTCACCCTTCTGACTCAGTTCTGGAGCACTTTCTGTCAACAGGCCTCACGTCTCCCTCTGTTTGGTTGTCATCTCTGCTGCACAGAACCACAGAGAGCCCAACCCACCCGCCTCATGTCCATCTGCTCAAGTAGATTTTAGTCTATTGGTGGCTGAAGCCAGGCTCGGGACACTGGGTACCGGGGGCCTAGGACCGAGGCCTGGTGTTCGCTACACTGAACACAAGGTACCGTGTGCCATTAGGAATCCATGAGAAAGCGAGGCAGTGTGGATTGTGGGCTATAGGCAGAACCGAGGGGAAGTTGATAGGCAAGCTTTATTACTGGTTAATCTGTACACTGTCTCAGGGAAGGAGGGAGGGCAGAGCGTGGCTCCTCCCCAGGCCACCTGGCTTGTCCCTGCATGTCAGAGTAGACAGGATATGTTCTAAGTTGTTCCTGGTTTTGGGAGATCACCTCTGTCCTGCTGCGGCCACACAGGCCTTCAGGGCCGGTCACAGGGGGTGGGGCCCTTCTTGCGTTCACGAGTCAGCAGGGTTACCAGCTTGGCCTTGATACCTGTCTGTGCTCCAGGGCGACCAGTGCCTTCGGCCTCATCTAGCTCCAGCTCAAGCAGCCTCCGGTACTGGGCTTCCAGATTGCTGTCGTGGGCCGAGCCAGGCCAACTCAGATCCTCACTGTTATGGTAGATGGGGCTGCCTAGGGGGCTGCGGCCACCAGGAGGGCCCTCTTGGGCCTCAGGACCCCCATTGGACAGCCCAGGGCTGGCCTCCAGCACGCACACATTCTCATAGAGGTGCTCCACCGTGCTTGCGTGCTTGCCGGGCTGCTTGCACACAGACGCATAGAGACTGGATGCTGTTCCCTCTTGTGTGGGGCTGAGCAGCAGTGGTAGGCTTTGAGGCCCAGGATCAGTTAGAGGCAGCTTTCTGGAAGTGGCCACCTCTAATCCTGGGGCCACCTCCCGAAGCTCTCCAGGGGGTTCTAGGGAGGGCATGGAGAGGGCCCGAGGCAGGGGGCAGGGTGGGGACATGGCCAACTCTGGAAGACGCTCCCGCTGGCGGGCAATGGCGGCGGCCACGGCTCCACATATGTCTGGTGCACGTGGACTACTGAAGGCAAAAAGGCCCTCACCTGAGTCACAGCGGCGGCCGGCCTCAAAAGAGAACACACCCTGCACACAAGTGACACAGGCAGGGGTCAGTGGCAGCCCAGGAGTCAGGACACTGACCACTGACCACCTTTCCCCACAGACACCGGTCAGGTTACCCAGCACCTCACCTTGTCGGAGCCAAACTTGCGGAGGAAACGGTAGGGCCAGCTATAGCAGGCCTGCGGCTTGGAAGTCTCCCGAAGCTGAATGTCATCTTGACCCAGTACCAGGAGGTAGGGTCCTTTCAGCTGACAGCGGGCGGTGGCCTCAGTCCTCTGCACTGTCACGGGAAACTCAGCCACTGTACTCGGAAAGCAAGGGCATCTCATCAGTTCCCAGACACCATTACTGGGGTGGGGGTGAGGCTGCCCCAGGGTCTCCCCTGATTCACCTTCCTGCCAGGAGGAGTAGATAGAGTTTTCCTCCATGGGAACAAAGCCCCTTTTTGGACTCTCAGCCTGTCCCGATCCTGAGGCACATTCTCCGGTACCCTGAGGAAGAGATTTATGTCACCGCTTAGAGGCCACCCTGTCCCCCTCCCCCATCCCTTCTACGCCTCGGCAGACAAAGCGTCCACTGCCAGTCCCACTCTGACCCACACTCCAGGGCTCTGGGCTCTCCTGAGTCATTTTCTATCTGTACTAAGGGGCAGCACTCCCCACTGGGCTCCCCTGGGAGTGCTGCTCTTGGAGTCCGTCTACTCCTGGTGCTGTAAGGCGCTAGGCAACCATGGGCATGCGTGTACAGCCCATGTGCTGGCTTGCACATAGCTCTGGCAGCATGCAGCCGAGAAGAGGCAGGGGTAGCACCAAGCAAATGTCCAGGCTTCTTCTTGTAGGCCACCCTTGAGTTTCCCTGACCTCCATCCTACAGCCTGCCCTATCTGTCAGGAAATGGCCACCATAATCACCCTGACCCATGAGCATGGCCAAAGCCAAACCCCGCCTCCTCCTCCTCTTCCTATTCTTTTCTTTCTTTGCATTCCTTTCTTTCCTTTTGTTTCCCAAGACAGGGTTTCTCTGTGTAGCCCGGGCTGTCCTGGATCTCACTTACTTACTTGTAGACCAGGCTAGCCTTGAACTCAGAGATTCCACCAGACTCTGCCTCCCAAGTGCTGGGATTAAAGGCGTGCACTACCACTGTCTGGCTCTCTGTACATTTTGTTTGTTTGTTTTGAAACAGGGTTTCTCTGTATAGTCCTGGCTGTCCTGGAACTCACTCTGTAGACCAGGCTGGCCTCGAACTCAGAAATCCACCTGCCTCTGCCTCCCAAGTGCTGGGATTAAAGGCGTGTGCCACCACTGCTGGGCACTAGTTGTTTTTTTTATCTTAAGTAGCCCAGGGTGGCCTGGAACTGGCCATGGAGCTGATCCTTCTCCCTCCGACTTCCAAATGCTGAGGTTACAGACTGTGCCACCCTGTCCAGTGCAAGGTTCTGTTCATCTCTTCTTCGGGGGATGGTCACATGCTGTCTCACCTCTGGGTGACTACGCAGTGCTGCCATGAGCACTGGCCCACGTTTTGCCCTCACCTTCTCTCATTCTCTTAGCTACACACCAAGTGGGAGAACGGCAGCCGTATGATAACTTCACGACTGATATTTTAAAATGGGTACTACCCATTGTTATGCATATAGATGTTTGCTGATGTTTTGTGTGTCTGTGAATTACATGCCCGTGGAGGTCAGAAGGGGGTGTCTGAACCCCTGGGACTTACAGCTGTGAGCTGCCATGTGGGTGCTGGGAATTGAACCTGGGCTCTCTACAAGAGCAGCCAGTGTTCTTAACTGCTGAGCCAGCTCTCCAGTGGCTCCACGGTCAACTTGCTGAGGAAGCCAGGCATGTTTGTCTCTTCTGTCGTGAACTCTTGAGACTTTATAGCCATTAGTCTCTGGCTTTAATGCCCAAAGCCATCCCCTTCCGTTCATCATAAAACCTCTCACCCACACATGGCCCAAGGTGGATTCAAAAGGCTCTCACTGAACTTTCCAGATGTCTTAACTCTTATGTGCCTAAGCTGTTGGTTGGCCTACTTTCTGATCCTTTAAACACAGGATGGTTTCCTGCCCCAGGGCCTTTGCCCATGATACCATTGTGTTGCAGGACCTGTCCACCTGTCTCAGACCACTGCCTTGTGAGCTTGCTCTTGTCATTTAAGGGCTCAGGCCCACTCATCCTCCTGACCCGAGGTTTCATTTTCTCTATAATATGCATAGAGTACCAGATCCTTCTATGGGCTTCTAAGCTGTTGCCCATATTTGCAGGGTTTTGGTTATGTTTACCAAGTGGCAGGATCTGACTAAGTGAGGACACGGGTAAGCAGGGTGAGGTGGTCCCAGCAGGCTAGTTCACTTTATGCTCACCGGGAAGGCCAGCTGGCAGATGGGATCCATCCACGACTGGCGGTGCTGTGCAGCCAGCAGGTGGCTTCGCTCAGTGGTGGTAATCAGGAAGGCACCAGTGTCCTTGGGACAGCTCTCACCATCAGCCGGCAGAACAGATACACAGTCAGCCAAACGTATGACCCGGCGTTCCCCTCGACGGCTAGGCCTTGTGGACCTGTCACCTGCTGGCCCCAGGCCACCATCACGGACGTCCCAGCTTTCTAGGCGAGCTACGCCGGATGGGCCTCCTGCATACAGCAGAGCCCACACTTTGCGCCAGCATTTCTGTAAGAAAGGAGACCCTTGGGAAGAAAGCCACCCCTGCCCCTTGGTTCTGTACCAGCTGCTTAGCAACCGGCTGCCTGGCTTCTGCCTTCCTAAGACTTTAGGGTACAGAGGAAGGAGGAGGCCTTACTGGGGAAGAAGTAGGCAGGGAGAGATCTATACTTGGGGTTGGTCAGCCCTGAGTTCAAGTCACACCTTGCCCTTTTCTGAATGACCTTCATAGTTAATAGTATCTAGTGATTGGGGCAGACCAACTGACACTTGTTACACAACTCAAAAGGACACTTGGGCCATGGGCTGGGTGGGGTGGAAGGCGGCCTCTGCTTCATGTTGGTAAGGAAGGAAACATGCAAATGACATCTATCAAAGGAAACAGACGGTTTATCTACCCAGGAGCAGCTGTGGCTGAACTGTGGGTGTATGGTCTGATGCTCAAGGAGAAAAATAAAATGAATCCCTAGCCCATCTCCTCCCCAGTATCCAGAGAACCAGTCTTCGTCTGCTCCATCCTTGGTAGGCTCCCGCCACACAGGCCTTGACCTTCTCTAGGAGCCTTGGAGCTATCATACACATAGATTTCGAGTCTTACAACCCTTCCGTGATCTTGGCATCTCTACCACTACATGAGGCACTCTTAGAAAGGATGCTTCAGTCCTAACCTTCTTGGTCAAGAATCTCCACGCTCAAATTGCCAGGTTTCACCTTGCCCAGACTCCCTGCCCAGTTCTTTCGGGTCTAGATAAGCTGTGTGGGCTAAGCAGGGGTTTTCCTCCTCTGCCCGTGGCTGGGAACCTGGGGTTCCCTCCTCTGCCCGTGGCCGGCAGTCTGGGTTCCTACCTTGCCAAACTTCACGTGCTGTTGGTAGAGGATGCCGTCCTTCACAGGGGTCTCCACAGACTCCATGGCCACAGCAGTTCTCAAGTCCGTGGAGACTGGTGCAGGCTGGACAGGAACTTCTCTTACTTCTCGTTTTTTTGGCCACTTCCCCCTCCCTCTGTCCAGAGACAGCAGCAGGGCCAGGGGTGTGGGGTGGGGGAGGGGAGCCCGGTCTTCACTTAAGGGACAGTACTCAGAACAAATCTCTTCCTTAGGGTTCTTGCTGTTCCAAGGAGACCATACCTGCCTATGGGGAGCTTAGAGTGGGGTGGGGGTGAGAACCGCCTCTTGCGCATGCACCTGGATCAGCTGGAGATGAGTATCTGACCACAGGGTGGACACCCTGAGTCACAAGCTCTGAGCCCTCCCCCATTCCCAGACAGCTGTGCAGCGTGAGGATGGGAGCTGACCAGCCTTGGACAGCCTTGGATCCTTCTTTCCAGATCACTAAACTGGCTGCCATTCTGAGTGGCACATCTGCCTCTCTTGGAGTACTGGATCAACCCAGGGCCTTGGGTGTGCTAAGGCAACTGCTGTACACTCAGCTACCTCCCCGGTCGATCAGAAGTATTTCTAAAGCTCGCTTTCCCCCCTTGGCCCTCACCCCGCCTGGGCCCATCCTGGCTGTGTCCACCAGTCCTGTTGTTCGCTTTGAGTCTAGTCTGGGCAACTTGATCCCATCTGCTCTCGCCTTTACTTCCTGAGGTGTAGTTCTTCTGATCAGTCCCTTCTGGGCACCTCTTACCCCTGCTCTGCCTGCCACCTGTGGCTGCTTCTTCCTGGAGGCCTTCCCTGACCACTCTCCAAGGTTGGAGAGCGAAGCGCCATACAACAGACATTTTAGACAGCAGGCCCCAAGGGCTCCATATCCAGGTTCACTGCCTGTCCGGGCAGCAGGCCCCCAGTGTACTCCCCAGGGAGGTCACATGCTTCTTAAAGCATTGCTTCCTGCCCAGTGGCTTTGTCCCCACCCCACCTGACCTGCCTTGTTGGAGGCCAGCACTGGGGCTTTGCATGAGTACAAATTATGGAAGTACCTTGTTACCAGTGTAATGCCACCTTGGGGAAGAATGCTGTAACCCAGCTGAGGAGTCCTGTTTGGGGGTGGGGTGAGGTCACAGAGCGCACATGGAAATACATTCATGAGGCCTTTGGCGCCTGGCTCCGTGCCACCATGCCCACCATGGTTGTGGTGCAGGCAGCTCTGAGCTCACACAGCCTGATCCTGCCCTTCGAATTCTCACTGACAGTTCAGTGATGAGGAAATTAAGGCTCAGATAACTTAACTTGCTGGAGGCCACACACTGATGACAGGTGTAGCCTGAGCAGCCGCTGCCTTTGCTGAGTAAGCACAAGCCTTGCAAAGTCCCTGGTGCAGAATGTGAACACCTGGGTACTGCTGTACCTTTTCTTTGGCCCCTTCTTACTGCAAGAAGTCCTGGTTGGGGTGGGCCAGCCAGTCTTGCACCATCTGCACACACACACGTACCTGTGGCTCCCCAGTTGTGGCAGCATCAGCCTGGCTGGTTTGTCTTTATAACCCAGGAAAGAGTGGGGGTGGGGCAGGACAGAGGTGGAGGGTGCTTGTGGCCAGAATGGCAGTTGTGTGGCATCTGCCACTTCCTCAGCAGATAGAGCAGAAGACTTCTGGATGGGAACTTGCACAGGCAGGGAGGGGATGCCCTGGAGCCATCACAGGAAGACTGAAGCTGATGGCAGTGTCAGACAGGCAGGAAAACCAGGGACACAACTATTTCCCTGTGACCCCCAATGTTGGCTCCTGAGTTATTGGGCATTCCTGACCAGATACCCTGAGCCCAGATGGTTCTACAGCAGGCTGACAACTCTGGGAGATGCACGTCTTGCCTCAGGGTGGTACTGGAGGCAGAGGCTTGTGCAGAACCCAAGGGGCAGGGGGGTGACAGAGAGGAAGAACTGGTCCAGGAAAAGGGATTGTGCTTTAATGGCATCTGGGGAAGAGAACAAAAATAATAATTCTGAGGGTACTGGGGCTGCCCAGGCCAGCTGGGCTGAGGAGGCTGGCTTCTGGTCTTGAGGGCTGGCTGTTGTGTGCATGGCTGATGTCCTGGGACTGGACTCTTGGGGAGAAGAGGAAAGACAGACGCTCAGAAGTCCATGGAGCTGTGGGCCAGGTAGTCCTTGCGGCCAATGTTGCTGACCTGCTTGGTCTGCATAGCTTCGAGTTTGGGACAGTCAGTGATCCGATGGCCAAGGCCTCCACAGAAGGCACAGCCCCGTTCTCCTGGTGGGGGAGAGAAGGGTCAGCAGGGTCTCAGGACCAAGTTTCAGGCCTTGGATCTTGAGCTCAGCTGGCCCTAGCAGCCAGGACTGGTTTCCTGGTACTTTAGTCTGGTGTTTACCAGCCCCGAAGCACTGAGCTGTGGACTGGAGACTCGGGCTCTGTTCCACACTCACCTCCAATGTCCAGCATGGACTCATCCCCACAGTGCAGCACTTGCAGAACAGGTGGGACCTTCTGCTTGGCCTCCAGCAACAAGGCTTTGAGATCCATGAGCACTGACTCGTCTGAGGGAGAGAGACAATGAGCACCATTAGGGTCTATCCCGGCTCAGAACCCAAGGTAGAGTCAGGTAGCTATGGTCAGCATCTCACCGCAGGCCTTGTTGATGAAGGTGGTGGCAATGCCGGTGTTTCCTGAACGCCCAGTGCGGCCAATTCGGTGCACTGCAAGGAAAGGAACAGCCTCTGGTTCACTCCCCAGACGGAGGGCCAGGCCCTCTTCTTGTCCAGCCCACCAGTTCCCCACGTTCTGTACCATAGTTCTCGATCTCTTCAGGCATGTCATAGTTGATGACGTGCTGGATGGCAGGAAAATCCAGGCCTTTAGAGGCTACATCTGTGGCCACTAAGACGTCCTTCTTGCCTTCCCGGAATGCCTCAATGGCCTTGGTCCGCTCTTCCTGGTCTGGGGTGGGTCAGGCAGGTGTCAGAACTATAGTGGGAGTGTTGGGAGTAGTGCAGGATAGCCAAAAGGGAATGGGGAAGGGGAAGGGGAAGAGGAAAGGAGGACGCTGTCATGGCAGCAGGGCTATGCCAATGTCTTGACCATCCTGACCTTTGCCCCCATGAATGGCCACAGCCTCAACGCCCTTGAGTAGGAGGTACTCGTGAATGGCATCCACATCTGCTTTCTTCTCTGCAAAGATGAGCACCTGCTCCAAAAAGGCCGCTCTAGTCAGAGGGTATCACACGGACTCCCGCCTAGCATACGTCCCTCCCATCCCATCTCCTCATGGGAACTCTGGGACCAGCCTGGTCCAGCTATACTCACAGGTGGGGGCGTCTTCTGCAAGCACTCGAGCAGGTACACCATCTTGGCTTCCTCCTTCACATATTCCACTTCCTGCCACCAGAGGGGCTAGGTCAGGACATCCTAAAGTTCAGCTCAGCAGTCATGGCCCTGACACTGTAGCTGGGCTCCCAGTCTGTGCTAGGTGACCTGAAGCCTCTTGCCATGAGGGCTAGACAGCCTAAGAATGGCCTTGTGTTTCCTGAACGCCCAGTGCGGCCAGTTCGGTGCACTGCAAGGAAAGGAATGGCCTCCACAGGTGGACTCTTCCGTTAGCTTCAAGGGAGCAAGGCCAGCTTTAGCCTATACTGGTAACACTCTGTCTATCAGAGTGTGTGCCTACCTGGATGACATCAAGGCTGGCTGCTCCAGCACGGCCCACATTGATGGTGACAGGCTTTACCAGGGCACTCTTGGCAAAGTTTTGAATCTTCTTCGGCATGGTGGCACTGAAGAGCAGGGTCTGCCGCTGGCCCTAAGGAAGGCCAGGACAGTGGTTTTTAACCTGAGGGTCTCAGCCCCTTGGGGGTCCCATAGCAGAGAGCCTTCCTATCAGATGTTTACAATACAATTCATAAAAGTAACAACATTACAATTATGAAGTGGTGATAAAATAATTGTATGGTTGGGGTCACACTGTGAGGAGCCGTTGTGGTCTCAGCATTAGGAAGGTTGAGAACCACTGGGCCAGGGGCATGCAGGACTAGAGGAGGGCACACAGGGGATGGAGTCTGGGGTTACTGAGCAGCTGAGCCACAGACCCTGAGAAGCGGAGAGCATGCAGCACAGGGACCCTGCAGCTCAACGTGCAGACCTGAGTGTTTATGGGTAGGCATCGCAGTACGTGAGCATGTGTTTACATGCGGTACGTGAGTGTGTATTTATGTGCAGGCATCTGGCACCTTGAAGTAGGAGAAGATGGTACGGATGTCACCCTCAAAGCCCATGTCGATCATGCGGTCGGCTTCATCCAGGGCCAGGTAGCGGCAGATGTCTAGGCTGACCATTTTCTTCTGCAGCAAATCCATGAGGCGTCCAGGGGTGGCTACCATCATGTGAACACCACTGAGAACAAAGAACCCCCAAGTTTTGGGTACCTGGGTCCCTCTGACCTCCAAGAGGCTGACCACTGCCTTCTGCTTTTACCATCTCCTCCCCTGCCTCTCAACATGTCTCCCACGCTATCTTCTGTATAGCACAGGCAGCTTATTTAGTAGGGGCAGGACCTCTCTGATCTGCAGTTATTCTGACACACCTTTGCCACGAGGGATGTCCTGAATCTCTGCAGGTTTGACTCCTGGTTCCTGTGCAACTTGGTTGGCCTTGCTGGGCTCACATTTCTGATAAGCTGACTATCTGTTATATGCCTGCATCTTCCCTGAGCCTGGGAATACCATGACCATCATCTCAGGGTCCAGAGTGCTATGGATGTCTGCTGGGATTGCACTACCTGGAAAGGACCGCGCAGAGGTGCTGCTGGGGTCTGACCGACGTCAGTGCCTTAGCCTCCTTGGTTAACCACAGTGAATAGGTCTAATTTTTCTGGATATTCCAGACTTCAATCTCTGAGCTTTGTACCTGAACTGCCCTCCCCCACCCCCCAAATCAAATGGCACCTTCCCTGCAAAGCCTTTTCTGACTTCCAATATCCTAGAGAATGGAACATCTGTTTTATTCCCACAATACCCAGCTATATCTTTCTATACTACCCCAAACTGTTTTCCCTCAAGGGTTAGACTCCCATAAGAACTCTGTGTGGCCCATGTAGTGGCTAAGCTAAAGGGTTCTTCCGCCTCTCTAGGAACTGTGGGATGCCTGTGGGCCATCAATACACACTGTCGGATGGTCTCCATCTGCTCCTTCACTGACATGCCCCCGATGCAGAGCGCACAGCGCAGGAGGGGCGAGCTGTCTTCCTGCAGCAGACGGCAGTAATACTCCAGGATGCCGTGGGTCTGACGAGCCAGCTCTCGCTGCAGGCAGAGGCAAGGCTGGTACCAGAAGCCAGCCCAGTCCTTCTCCTGACCACTGGGTTAGCCTATCTTACCGAGGGGCAGATGATGAGTCCGTATGGCCCTTCCCGCTTGGAGAAAGGCAACCGCTTCTCTTGTTCCAGGCAGAACATGATGACAGGCAGTGTGAACACCAGTGTCTTGCCTGACCCCGTGAAGGCAATGCCGATCATGTCCCGACCCGACAGACTGTTGGGAGAGGACAGCTTCAGGACTGGCAAGCCAGAAACAGATAAATGAGAGCTGCTTCTCTGTGCAGGGCAGGCATGCCCACAGCCCAGACTTACATAGTAGGGATGCCCTGGATTTGAATGGGTGTTGGGTGGAGGATGCCTTTTTTTTTCAGGCCTCGAAGGATAGCTATAGAGAAGAAAAGGTGTTTTATTGGCATCCCGAATCCTGTAGAATTAGCTCTTCCCTGTAGGTTGTAACTCATGAAACAGAGGCTGGGGGTCATGAAACAGTGGGTCCAAGCCCCACTTGCTGACTGGGCCTAAGTTCTCACCAAAGCTATGTCAAAGCAGAAGACAGATGAGGCATCTGAAAGTAAGTCTAAAGAAACCCTTCCTCTAGTGAGGAGTGGTAGGACATGCCTATAACCCCTGAACCTAGGAGGCACGGGTAACTGGATCTCTGAGTTAGAGGAAAGCCTGATCTTATCATGTTCTGGGACAATTAGGACTCGAGAATGACACCTGGTTTCGAACCTGCATATCTCCTCACCTGCTCCCAGGCCATGGTGGTCATGCCTACAGTGCTAGCATGAGCATTCAGTAGGAATGACGCAGGAGGACTGTTTTGAATTTGAGGTCAGCCTGGGCTGCAGAAAGAGATCCTGTCTCAAAGGAGCTTCTCCCCCAAAACCAAGTGCCACGAACAACCAGAGGGATATCCTATCTCCAACTCTCCGTTCCCACTGCTGAGTGCAGTGGGTGCTGGGACACAACCTCACGGGGGCAAGATGATACAGCACGGGTGTCTCCCTTCTCCTCAGGTACCTGCAGGAAACTTCATTTCCTTGAAGCTCTTGATGGGTGGTGGGATACCATCTCCTTCCACCAGGATGTGGTACTTCTTCCGCACGCGTTCGTGTCGCTCTTCAGACATGCTCAGGACATAACGTGGGGGTGTCCAACTATGGGTAGGCAGTGGGCAAGAGAGGTCAACACAGTACACAGTACAGCAGGGCAACTCCGTACCACCTCCAGTCTCAGCCACATATACTGACTGGAAAGACATACCTAGTTTTGATTGGATCATCATAGGTGATGCCTTTGGCCATTTCCTTCACTGACATCAAGGCTGAGTAGACAAACATAGCTCAGTGGGTTCCTGCTTCCCAAAGGCAGACCCCCTGGGACACAACCTGTCTGCACCAACTATAACGGTACCTCGGCCTTCAGCCACACTCTCCAGAATCTTTTCTTCTTCCTTCAGTTGCTTTTCCTTGGCTGACTCCTTGCGTGCTGAGAAAAGAAGTCGTAGATGTCAGAGAACCAGGAGCACTGCGCCCTAGTCTCATTCTCTCTCCTTCCTGCTCAGCCCACCTTCAGCCTTCTCTTTGAGGTGCTGGTGCTGATCCAGGAGGCTGACATTGGACTGAGGGCCCAGAGGGATGTCGTCCTCATCTCCTCGGGGTTCACTGCCACTGTCCTGCTGCTCTTCCTCTGTAGCTCCCTTGCGTCTTCGCTGCAGCAGCTTCTGGAGCTGAGGTTGCACCAGTGTCCCTCAGAGTCAAGCCCAAGGCCCGGTAGGGGAGGGAGCACAGCACCCGGGAGGGTCGGAACCTAGGCTGCTGGCGTTTTCCGGGAAGGGGGTCGTGTGCACTGAAGCGCACGTCTGTCCGGGACTCAGGTTCACCGAGTCCCTCCCCGGTCTTCCTCAGAACCACGTCCCAAGGTAGGACTGCCGCTCCCCGGAGCCCCCCTCCCGCCGACGGCCGGGGCCATGTCGCCGTAGCTGTCTCACCAGTAGCTGCCGGCGCTGCCGCAATGGCACATAGGGCACGTAGTCCTCGTCGTCCTCATCTTCGTCCTCAGAGCGGCTCCCTCCCGCGGTCGCCTCGTCCGCGCGAGCCCGCTGCGGCGGAGACCCGAGTCAGCCGCGGCCCCTCCCCCTCCCCGCACCCCCTCGCGTGGACCCAACCTCAGTCCCACCTTCCGCTCCGGTTCCGACTCCTCCATCGTAGGCCGCACACATGCGCAATGCCAGTTTAAAAAAAAAAAACCACGCCTCATCTGACCTCCAATCAGATAGGAAAAGACCTGCTGTCGTCGCCTAGCAACGGCGTGAGGGCCGGATCGCGAAATGGGACAATCTTCTTCCAGCGCGTTTGTGGGCGGGCGGCGGAGCTAATTGAATCTGGCGAAGCCTTGTGGGTAGCGGAAGGACTTGAGGCGTGCGCAGAAGATTCAAGTCGTGGCTTAAAGGATGAAACTGTTGTACCTCCGCAACCCACCCTCTTCTCTTCTTCCCCGCATGCTCCCGGGGAGCGCTGTGCCCTCTGGCGGCCAGGAGTCCCAGCCCTGCAGGCGGGATTCCTCGAGGGCGGTGCTCGCAAAATATGATTCCTCATCAGCGTGAAGTAACACCGCTGTTCTGACGGGTCGGAAGTAAAATAATGGTCAAGATGTTTTTCAGCCTTGTGTGTTATATGTGTAAATCATATACATCTCAGAGTGACCACCTGGGAAGCTAGAGATAGCACAGAGAAGACGCTGGATCTGAGTTTCTGAGTAAGTGGAGGAGTCGCTATCAGGAGAGCAGGAAAAGGGCTAAGAGTGTAGAGCAAGGGCTGGAGAGATGGCTCAGTGGTTAAGAGCACTGATTGCTCTTCCAGAGGTCCTGAGTTCAATTCCCAGCAACCACATGGTGGCTCACAACCATCTGTAATGGGATCTGATGCCCTCTTCTGGTGTTTCTGATCATAGCAACTGTGTACTCACATTCATAAAATAAATAAATCTTAAAAAAAAAAAAAAGAGTGTAGAGCAAATAATTCCTTAGGGCAAATTCCTTAGGGCAACTGCAGAGATCTCAGGGGCTGGTGTGAGGTAGGGGGAAAAGGACACCGGTCCCAGGTTGTCATGAGTCCCGCTCTAAGGAGGAAAGACAGAGCTAGCGCTGGCTTCCCCTTCCCAAGTCCTTATCTGTAATAGGAGCATTGATCACCATGTAGTGCCTGAGAACTCACTTGTTTTGAGATTGAGAGAAATATAAGGATTTTCTTTTTCCCTAAGAGAGGGTCTGTCTTGCCATGTAGGCAGGGCTGGCTTCAAACTTGTGGTGATCCTCCTGCTTCAGCCTCATGAAATCATCACAAAGGCAGTGCAAGTCGATTTTTGTGATATTCATAGCAAGTGGCCTCTCTTGTAGGATGTGAAGAACAATTAAAAGAAAAAGAAAACAAGCCAGGCCGGGCGGTGGTGGCACACGCCTTTAATTCCAGCACTTGGGAGGCAGAGGCAGGCGGATTTCTGAATTCGAGGTCAGCCTGGTCTACAGAGTGAGTTCCAGGACAGCCAGGGCTACACAGAGAAACCCTGTCTTGAAAAACCAAAAAACCAAAACAACAAAATACAAAAAAAAACAAACAAAAAAAGAAAACAAGCCCGGTGGTTGCATGAACCTTAACCCCAGCACTCAGCTGGCAGATCTGAGTTTGAAGGCAGCTGGGGCTACAGAGTAAGAATTCATCTTAAGGTAAAGAAACAAACACCCGGAACTCGTAATGGAATAGTAATTGTGGAGGGGTGGGGAATGGGAATGGAAGTCAGGAGACCCGAGGGGCAGCAGGCCTAGCTGGTGACTGTGTAAGCTATGAGTGCTTAAGGCCAGTCTTTGTAGGTACTTGACCAGACTTTTACTTTTGCCACAACTGGAATTTCAGATAGCTGTTTAAAGTATGAAAAACAAAGTTAACCAATACAGAGAAAAGACTTCACCTACTTAACCTTCCCTGAAGAAGGTTGAGAAGCAGGAACTGTGAACCTGTGGTCTGGTTCCTTTCTTTAGGAAACTGATACCCAATCCTATGGAGGGGTTGGTGGGAGGAGAGGGAGGGTCCAGGTTCTGGTCAGTCTGTGTAGGGCCCTTTAAGGGCAGAGCACACCTCTAGAGACTGTGCTGCCTGCCTGGAGAAGTTTGGTTAAGAATGGGCATTTCGCGGGGTTGGAGAGATGGCTCGGGTTAAGAGCATTTGTTCTTGCAGAGGACCCAGACTGGATTCTTAGCACCCACATAGTGCCTCACAAACATTTGTAACTCCAGTTCTGTGGAATCCAACGCTGTCTTCTGACCTTGGACATCAGGCTTATGGTGTTTGTGAGCAAAACATTCACACATAAAATAGATCTTAAAAGGACTTTAGCTTGGACACAGTATGAAGCATTTTTAGTAAATCTACTATATTAAAATGGGATTTGGGAAAATGAGGTGGATTCCTTGAGTTTATAGATGTTTATTATGGGTTTTGTTTGCAGGTCTAAGAGTGGGTACATATCCCATTCCCACTGGAGAAGCAGACCTAATTCATAAAAGCAGCCCTGAACTGCTCCAGTTATGTTGGTATGGTGTGGGTGGCTCTCAACTGGCTATGGCTACAGATGCATGGTTGTGAAGGCCTCAGGGCCTCTGGTCTCATACATATGTAGAAGGCCATATCCACCTGTATCCACATGGTCATATTGCAAAGGGGAAAACTAAGTGTAAGAGCTAATCTTGGTTCCCAACTTGATTAGACATACTGCAGGATGAAATGGAAGGGCATGTCCTGGATTAGCTGAAGGTGAAGACATTCCCCCAGAACAGGGTGCACTTACCTCAGTGGTAGCCTAGACACAAGGAGATCCAAGGAAAAGTTGTTGCTTTTTGCCTGCCTGTTTTCACTAATATCTCGTGGTGGATGCATCTACCACGATGTTGCTGCTACTGCTGCTGACATCAGAGCTTAGCTTCTTCAGTCTTCCAATGTGGACTAAAACTTAGGGACTCTCTTGAGGGCTAGAGATGACTCAGCAGTTAAGAGCATTGAGCTCTTCCAGGTTCAATTCCCAGAGACCACATGGCAGCTCACAGCCATTCGTAACTCCAGTCCCAGATGACTCAATGTCCCTCTCTGGCCTCCACAGACAGTACATACATGTGATAGATGTATATACATGCAGACGAGATACCCATACATAAAAGTTAAAAATAAAAAAATTAAAGATCAGTGACTCTCCAGAGATTGTCTAGCCCTTCAGTACTAGACTGAATCTAATACTGAGAGGCCTCATGGATCAGCCTCCAGTGTGCAGAGGCAGCCGCTGCTGAGCTACCCGGCCCACACAGTGTCCTAGGTCGATGGACCTGAGTCCTCCCAATAGGAGACAGGGCCTAGACAGTAACAGCAGCCACAACCTTTGGGCCCAGCCAGACGGTTTGGCAGTTACTTGCTGTCATAGCCTTAGTAACCCCCCATCCCCATTACGTTGGGCTGTCAGCTCCACTCAGGATTGCCTGGGGACTCTAAGGGTTAAGTGAGAACTATGACAGACTGCCTGAGCAGAGTACTGCTCTAGACTCTAGATGGTGACTAAGACAGACCTCTGTTTTGGAATATATATATATATATATCTCCCACTCCCCATTGAGACCAGCAAATAACCACCACACTAACTCTGTGTCCAAATGTTGCTTTATTCACAGTATCAAAAGTTAACAATTAAAAAAAACAAAACAAACAGAAACCAAACACAAAGAGAGCAGTTTTGGGCCAGCAGTGCCACCAGCCCTTGGCTCACAGGCCAGCCCATTCCTCAGGCTGTGTAGCACCAGGAAGCGGCTCTGCTGAGGTCCTCAAAGGCCCCAGCACAGCATGGCGTCCATTCAGCTTTTGGTTGGTCAGGGTGCTGGGAGCTGGGCCAGTCAAGACAGGTGGCAGGGCACGTGGAGAACTACATCTGCAGCTTGAGTTGGGGCCTTGAGAAGACCTGGAGACATCAAGCTGGGCAGGGCTGAGAGGGAAAAAGAGGGCAGGGTCACAGTGAGTACCAGGCTGCCTCTCCCCACCCCTGCTGGCTCTGGTGGCTCTGGGTTCCTATGAATTCTATCCCCAGCTTCTCCCCCGCCGCTTCTGGGTCTGGGGAGGTGGTAATATGCAGAGTTAGCTTTGTTTCTTGGGCTGAAAAAGAGCAACAGATTTCCCAGATGGAAATAGGAAGATTTTCAGTAGAAAGTGAAGTATAAACCTGGTGAGGGATAGAGCCCCAGTCCTGAGGTTCTGTCAACATATGGACAGTCCTTGAGAAAACTAAGGCCCTTGCTGCAGCACACTGGTGCAGCTTAGGGCTGAGTAAGAGCTTGTTGCTCGCAACCATTCTCCTCTTTACAGGTGCTAGTGCAGGCCAGCCCTATATTCAGACTCTACCCAGGTTCAAGGAGACAGCCTGGGCTGGGTCCCAAGGCTGTGTCAGTACTGCAGCCTCCTAGACCTTCATGGAAGATGATGGAGTGGCTCCAGGATGCACACTCATGAGGGCAGGGAAGAGGGCAGTGGCCTTCCTGTCCTGGAAGAGATCAGCTAAGGTAGAAGATGGCTGGATCAGGTTTCTCTGGAGAGCAGTGAAATTCGGCTTATGTGAGGTGTGACCCTTTTTCTCTCCATAGAGGCAACAGATGGTCTATTCCTTACTCTTGTGGTGGTGGAAAAGAAAGGTAAGAGGATACCTCATCTAGAAGATACCCTTGGGGTGTGGTTATTCTCAAGTGGCAAAGGATCAGACTCTTCAAAGCACAGGAAGCCTGAGGTGACCCTGAAGAAAGCAGCTTTAACTTGGAGGCAACACATGCACAGCACAGGGAGCCTCAACTCTGGAGGCTGCCCTAGCTTCAGGCCTCTGTGCTGCTCCGGGGGAGTTATTCAGAATCCAGGAAGCTTACTACTTCAACCCAGAGATGAATTTTTAAAGAACACAAGAGCATAGTGTCAGGTGGTGACCTCAAGAGTATGTGTACAGAGATCAGATCTCCCACTGTACTAGGGGCAGCTATGCAGTTGTCAGACAAAAAATTCCTGATGCAGATACATAGCACAAAATTAGGACATGGAACTGTGGGCCTGAGAGATGGCTCAGAGGTTAAGACCACCAGCTGCTCTTCCAGAGGAACTTGTTCAATTCCCAGTTCCCACATGGCAGCTCACAACTATCTATAACTTGGAATCAGACACCCTCTCACAGACATACATACAAGTGAAACACCAATGCACATAAAATAAAAATACATAGTTAAAAAAAAGGGGTGGGGGAATGGCTTAGCAGTTAAGAGCACTGGCTACTCTTCCTGAGGTCGTGAGTTCAATTCCCAGCACCCACATGGTGGCTCACAACCATCTGTCATTACAGATCCCTTTGGATCTGATGCCCTCTTCTGGCACTCAGGTATGCATGCAGATAGAGCACTCATATACATAAAATAATAAAAAGAAAAGTACACAGACCTGAATAGCCGTGGGCCCCAATACTGTGTATTAGCTGCCTATGTCTTCTGTACTAAAGCTCTCAGCCTGGAGGCTTTCTCCAGTTTTGGGCACCCAGCCCCCAAACATTATCCAGTATGTCAATAGTTCAAATAACGGTGTTTATTTGAGTGGCTGGAGGGCAAACCAGAGCTGCTGTGGGTCAGTCTCCTCTCAAAAGACAGCTTAGCTACTAGTTCCTCAGGAACTTGTGCTACTGGGGAAGAATCCTCACCAACACCTGCAATATTTATCAATGGCCTGCAAGGTGTTACTCTAGTTCACCTGCCTGTCACTGTTCCCTTAGGGCTGGGCTTTTATGCTGCTTCAGGTAGAAGGCATACTCTGCACTGAAGAAACAAGTGAGGCTTAAGCCCAATGCCCAATCATGGGGCAGCTCCATGAAGTCTACTGTTGCCAGGATGCTTTGGGAGGGAGGCTGAGCCCCAGTGGTGACACTCCAAGAAACTGACCTTCAGAAGCAGCAGCAAGATTCAGGGAAGGCCTAAGCGGGGAGGACTGATGGAAGAGCAGAGGCCTTGGTGGGCTGACACACAGGACAGGGTACAGAGCATCAGCAGCTGCATGTGGAGATGTGGTTGCTATGGAGGTGCAGAGATCAGGGCGAGCAAGCCCTAAGCCCAAGTCCCCAGAGCCATCCCATAGAATGGTTTAGATGGGCAGAACATGGGAGGAAGCAGGTGCCGGTGACAGCTGGGGGGTCTCTACCTCACTGAGCTGTGCTAGGAGCAGTTTTCTTGAGGCTGAAGTTGGTCCAGTTCACAGTAACTTTCTGACGGTTTTGCTTTGCAGAATCCAAACAGAACCTATTGGGTTTTGGAAATATGGGTGAAACACAGTAAGAGGTTTTTTTTGCTTTTCTTACTGGACCCCACCTCTGGACAAAACATGTCCCATTTACTGAGAAACCAGCTGGAAGCCCAGAGTGGTACACTGTAATCCCAACACTCAGGACTGCCATGAGTTTAAGGCCAGCCTGGGTTATATGGCAAGACTCAAAAAAAAGAAATAAAAAACAAGTTTGCTCTAAACAGACACTGTGGCTTCCAGGTGTTGGGGTTTGACAGGCTTGAGAACTGCTGTCCATGAGGCCAGGAGACATCGCATGAAGACAGCTGCTGTGAGGTACAAACTGGCCTCACCTCTACCTTACCCTCCTCGCTGTACTGAGCAGGCTTCTCCTCCCTTCAGACCTTTGTACATGGTGTCCCACAGTTACAGACACCTTCCAGGATCACTGCTGAGCTGAGCTCAGCTCAGCTACTCTTCACACTTCACCTCAGTCTCACCTCTGCAGAAAAGGCTCCTCGAACCCTCAGGCTGGTTTGAAGGCTTCCACCAGTGACCTCATCATACCATTACGCCTCTAATGGCACCAATCACTGGGATGTATAGTTCTGAATCTCTCTAGACATTTCCTAGAGCTTAGCCCACCAGAACAGAAGAAGTACAAGTAAAATAACAGCTCTGGGGATCTCCATGAGTTTGTGGCCAGCCTAGTTTATGTAAAGAGTTCTTGAGCAACCAGAGCTACACTGAAACCCTGTTCCTGGGTGCTAACACGGCTCCTTCACCTCATGCCTTACACCTTCTCAAGTGATCCTCTTGCCAAGAGGCTCCCTGGGTTCAGGCTATGTGGAAGGGCCTGGAACGGCAATGAGGAGCCCTATGGATTTTCTCTGGCTTAAGACACAATATGGGGCTTGGGCATGGACATAAGTTCCCCTCAGCTGGGAAAAGCAGACAGCACACACCTACCTCTTGAAGTATTCCACCTCTCTGTCGGTCTCATCCATCTCCACCCCATCCAAGTCTTTGGGCAGGAACACATCGTCTAGGAAGACACAGCCAGGAGGGCTCAGTGCCTATGGCCAGGCCTCTGGGGTCATGCTGGGACTGCCCTCCACCCCATGGCTTGGTTGGAGTGGGGGTTCAGCCACTTGGTTCCTGGTGCACTCACCCAAGGAGGAGGCTGACTTCTCCTGCTTGTTTCGGCTCCGGCGGCTGCGGCCCTTGCCCTGGGACAAGTTCTGTGGCCTTGCTGGGCCGGGGGTCTGCTCAGATTCCTGCTCCACAGTCCGTGCCTTGGCCCCACCTGGCCACCAACTCTGCCAGGAACTACCCTTCTTGTCAGTTTTGGGGCTGTCAGCCCGAATTGGTCCTGGCTGGCTTCCCCGGCTGCTCTCTCCAGGTTCTGCACCACTGCCCCTTTTGGTAGGCTCTGAGCCCTTGCCTGGCTGCTTGGGGCTAGATATCTGGCTCTTGGCACTGGGAGCCTCTAGGTTGGTTGGAGGCCAGGGGGCTGGACTCGCCTCAGTCTTCTTTGCTTGACTTCCCTGTCTCTTGTTCTTTCTTGGCTTTCCACCTGTGGCCACAGGCTCAGACAATTCCTGTTTGCAACTGGGAGCTTCCTTTGGACTTTCCTCAGAGCTTGGGTTGTCTGGGTTGGGTGTCTGGACCCTGATCATCCTGGACAGGTTGGGCACAGTGTTGAGTCTTCTGACGAGCTCATTCTCAGGGATCCCAGGAGGGGGGCCCATCCCCTCTGTCCATGGTGGGTGAGGGTCTCTCCTTTCTGCCCATGGTGTGACTGGCTCACTTGGAGCTTGTAATGTGTGGCTCTGAGGGGACCCTAAGGTCAACGGGGACAGGTCAAGGTTGATGTCAGGCTGTTTGTGAGAGGAGCCGCTGAGGTCTGAAGGGGTTAGGGTCTGAGCTTCCACAGTCCCCTCCTTACAGCCACTGCTCTCCACGCTGAGCTCACGCATACTCAAACTGGCACAGAGGGAGTCTTTGATGGTGCTGTTGGTCTCCTGCAAGCGGCTGTTCAAGATGCTATTGACCCCGTCCAGTTCCTGGTTAGGGCACTCCAGGAGCCTCTCCCTGGCAGGCCTTGGCTCCTGGCTCCCAGAAACACGATTCACCTGCTTCAGAGCTTCTGTTGCCAACCGGGCCTTCTCTTTTTCCTGTCAACAGAAGACACAGTTTCAACAGAGGTCTGCTATCGATCAAGTACAGTGTGGTACATCAGCTTGGGACCTAGCTTGGCCATTTGCTGAAGACAGAGACTCATGACCTTCACATATTCCTCAACCCTGCAGGGATGGGTGGCGATGAAAGCAGACAGATATCAAGTCTCTGGGGTAGACGTGCACATAACCTCCTGAGGGTAGCTCTGGACAGTTTACTCGTCATGAGCCTGTGTCGGTTCTAGGGTCTAAGAGGCTAGGGTCTGCTTCCCAAGTGTGGGTTAGTATGAGCTTGAGTGACTTGTGTACTCCCTGTTAGGCCCCAGTGGACTCATCTACAAAACAGAGATGCTAACTGTGGGCTAAAGAAAGCGGAGATGCACGGCTGTGGAGAGGCAGTCTCTTCAAAGCTGTCGGGGCAGGGAGATGTGTTCTGATGCAGTCTTAAAGGGGAGAAGATATAGGAGCCAACTGTAAGTGTCCTCCTGATGCTGCATTACTGGGAAGGGGCATCTCTTAGGAAGGTCTTTCACTGCTCAGCCAGCCCCACATATCCAAGCCCATATCTCAAGTATGTCTCACAGCATACCATGATTAGTGACAGGTAGGGCCCTCACCACAAGGTATAAAAGCAGTTCCTGAGCCCAAGAGTCTGGCAGGTCCCAAGAGGTTGAGTCCTGTTAATCCTCTTTAACAGACTTGAATCAGAAGAATGGAAATCTATCTATGGGCTGAGTTATCTGAATTTCTCCACCTAAACCCAAGTTACCAGGAGGCTAACAGAGCCTAGGGGTCAGCTGGGAAGGCTGTGGTGGAGTACCATCATCTCATGTGTCTCCAGGTGACCTGCAGAGTGAGGGAGAGAAGACATGCCTCCACCTCTGAACCACCTTAGAGAAATTCTTCTGCCCTGGTGGCCAGCCATGTAACCTCTGTCTCTTCTGAACACCGACTACACACCTAAGCTCAGTTCTTTATGGCCCCTTGGACTAATCACTCTTTGAATCTTAATATCCAAGTTTGTAATTTACAAGAAAAAGTTGCTCTGAGGGTCTGTAAGGGTCCAAGTCTCCTTTCTCATGTGGCAGGACTCTGCCTACTCAGGCAGGCAGTGAGCAGTGGGGCCTGGAGCAGTGTCTGCAGAGATACTGGGGCATTTGGAGGCTGGAGGGATGCTCTTTCCCTCTCAGAACAAGCACAGCCTGCTTTCTGGTTGTTATAGAGAAGAAAGTTTTTACTCAGGAATGTTTGTTTCATGTCTTGAAGGTCTGCGAAGTCCTGGTATGGAGAGGGCCTCCTCATCACAAACCCTGCCATCGAAAGAGCGGCTCCATGCACAGACCTGGCTCCCTGCAGCAAGGCATCCTTAACCCTCACCACTGCCCTTGCTGTTCATACAGACGAGGAACTTCAGCTTTGGCAAGAATACAAAACTGGTTCAAGATCAGGCGGCTAGTATATCAGCAAGGACTAGCTCATGGGTTCTAGACTTTTTGGTCCCTTTTGCTCATTGGCTGTGAGACCTGGTCTGTCTCCCAGCCTCAATCAGCCAGGGAGGAGAGACATCTAAATGGACTGCTTAATTTTGAGTGACAGTGTCAAGTGCTACAAGGCAAAACGTACAAGGTGCTTTTGAGCCAACTTGGATCAGGCTGCTTCACTGGACAGAGTGCTGCCGGGCACAGACACAGGGTGAGTGGAATTACCCTGGGAAAAGAAAGCACCCTATGCAGAAGTACAGTTGGAGCCTAGAGTTTTGTTCTGCTTTCGTTTTGGCCAGGGGAGGTGCGGTGTGGAGGGACCTTGGGAGGCAGGAAGGTAGGGTAGAAAGTAAGGCTGCGATGAAGCTGGGAAGCTAAGCAGCAGCTGGATCTAAGATCTGTAGGCTGTGCAGAAGTCTGGGTTTGAGCCTGAGGCAACCAATATTACCAACTGAAGCCATTAAACACAGATGCTGTGGTGGAAATCACGGACAGGGATTCCCAGTGTTCAGCAGGAAGGTAAAATGACACATATCCAGGAAACATCACCGACAACCACAGCTGTGGCCCACATGAACCGAGCATTCACACGTGCTGGGGCATTCTACCCAGGTTCCCATGCAACATTTCGTGTCATCCTCCCAACAGTCTACGACTTAGGCTCCTGGTTACTCTTATTTTCTAGATGGAAAAACCGAGGCTTAGAGATGAACTGATTTGCCCAAGGTCATACAGCAAGTGTGATCAAGCTGAGCTTCAATCTCACGTCAATTCCAAGGCTCTCTGCTTTCAGTCACAGTGCACTTCCCCATGACAGTGCCCACGGCTCAAGGTCAAATAACAGAGTGAAGTGGTCCCCTTTACTGAACAGACAATGGAAAAGAAAAGGCAGGTCTCCTTTGTTATGTACTGAGTTTGAGGCACCTGCCGGATGTCCCCAAAGAGGACCAACAGTTATCAGAGATGCCAATGTCATTATAGCTAGATGGATTTTCTTCCCTAGAGAGATATGATCTGCAAAATCTAGGTGAGGGACAGGAACTCACGAGGGAGATGGAAAGCGGTCAGAGAGGCTGGTGAGGAATATGGAGAAGACGGTGACCCTACTGCCCCCGCTCGCATGAAAGTCAAGGAGCAAGGCTTAAAGGGGAGCACACGTCAAAGGTCGACTGGTGGACATCTGAGACATACCTTGGATTCAGTCTTCAAGCGGAGACTGAAGGAGTGTTTGGTAACAATGGAAACGGTGAACTGGGATGTAAGGAAGAGGAAACACACTGGGAAGGCGGGAACTGCCTGCCTTCGACACTCAACAGTGGGCACAGTGACACATGACGGGAGACAGAGCAGAGGAGAGACTGCGGATCCCTGGGTTTGAGCCTGAGGAAGCAGTTTACCAACTGAAGGCTTTGAAAATAAGAGCAGGTAGCCTGGGCTGAGAAAGCAAGAAAGGACGACACAGGCTGGGTAGGACAGCTCTTCCTTTAGAGATGAGGAGGTATGTCCAATGACCTTTTCCTTGCTGGAAACAGAAGTGAATGTATTTGCTGAAGAACAAGGGAGGGCAGCTGAGAGCCTCAAAGCTGGAGAGTTAGAGGTCTGAAAACAGGGCCATGGGAACAGGCGAGAAATGGAAGACCAGCCAGGCTACACGAGAGTTCAAGCCCGTGGGGGACTACCCAGCGGAATGCTATACATACAGTTACATGCTATCCTCTGGGTATGGAAGGGGAGACAGTGTAGGATGGACCAGGGATACAGTTTTTCAAGCAGATGTGTCAGAAAGGTAACAGGTAAGGAATTAAAGAACACCAGCCAGAGAGTGACTGAAGTGAGCTTACTCAAGTGAGTGCTAGCTTGGCCTGGGAAGAGGAGAAAGGGTCAGAAGACAACACTCAGTGGACAAGAAAGGATGGATCTTAGGTTGCAGATGACACAGCATGGGTATAGCTTCAGAGCATCAGGGATTAGTGCCTAAAGGTAAGAAAAGGAAGTACTGGTCTGAAAGTGGGATGAGGGAACAGGAAGACTGTTGCTTTTACCTATCTCCCCAAAGTTCTAGCGAACAAGCAGTCACTGCTACTGGGGAAACTGGATTCTTGATGGCAGCCAAACTAGTTAAAAAGGACCTCAGAGAAGGGCTAACATCCAAATGCATAACAATAACAGTCTCTGATCTCACACTGAGACCACCTCTGTATGTTTGTTCCTGGCTACAAGGCTTAGGTCTAGTGGGCAGTGACTGCAGGCAGCTCTGGTGAACAGCAGCCTAGACTTCCCTGAGGACTTCTGCAAAGGAGGACACATCTCAACTGAGCCCTGGAGCAACAGTCTTTCAGGAAGGATACACAGGGTTATAAAATGCACACCAGACCTGGGAACTGTGGAACATGCCTTCTAGGGACTGCTCAGAGGCCAGAGACCACTGCAGGCTGTGGAACACTTCTGGAGGGCAGCTTGGGGTGGGAGCAAAGGAAGGACGACCATTCTCTGAAGGTAGCAGCAGGGCCTTTTGCTTAACTACTTGAGGCTGCAGAAGGATCTTGGTTGTCCTTGGGCTGGAAAGATGGAGAATTACTTCTGCCTTCCAGAGCTTTAGGGTTGTTTGACCACCCAAGAACTGGAACTAACTGGCTGTGAAACCAGATCTCTTCAGATTGTGGTTCCTGCCTGTGGCACTGAGCAGATGCAGCTGGGGGTAAGCAGGTGAAGTAATGAAGCCGCAGGCGGCTCGGCATCCAGCCCTGGGGTTCATCTAGCGGCAGGGCTGGCCAGGAATAGCTCCCTGGGTTTGATCCTCCATGCGGAGTGAAGCGGTGCACTCCCATGGCTTCAGTTCCATCCCTGCTCTGGCAGTGGCTAGCCTCACACCTCCACGTGCACTTGGAAGTCTCACAGGAACCTGAGTCAACGCGTCCCAACTACATCCAGTGTCCTGCAGCTGCCATGCTGGCTCAGTCACAAAACTATGGTCGTACTGACTCCCACCTGGGAGACCCCTGAGGGTCTTTCATGCTGTCATTAGAGTCCCGAGCTTGTCCATTCTCTCTCTCTCAAGTCTCAGTCCCAGTCTCCATCACCTCCCCCTTGGTCTTGTCTTTTCCTACCTGGAGTATCAAACTCAGTTTTCTTTCCCTCACCTTCCAATCTGCCCCGTTTCACCACATTGCAATCAAAATACAGATTTGAGAGAGTCAAGCCTCTGGTGACACCCTCTTACTTGGAGGCTAAAATCAAAGCTGCCATTCCTCCAGCAAGGCCTCAGAGGCTCTCTTCTGTTCCCACTACCTGCCCTACTTCTCTGCTGCTTTCAGCTCTACCACACTGCTGTGGGATGTGCTGTACCCGTTGCCGTTGCCCTTATTCCTGGGACCCAGCTGATGAGCCACGCCCTTGTAAAGCCATTCCTGGGCTTTACAGGACAGGGCACTTCCCTCACCCTGGTACTTGTCACACCCTAATGCCTCTGTCCAGTTTTGTGTCAGTCTCCTCACTGGACTGAGTTCCTCCCAGGGTGAGAACGTAACTGTTACTCTCTGGCTCCCAGTATTTGTGGGTGTGCTTGCTGAATGAATGAATGACCCCATGGAGCAGCAACTCCTCGGCCTGGAGGACCTGGAGGACAACCAGCAAGCAGCCCGCGGCAGAGACACATTTCTTGCTCCAATTCCTTGCTCACGGGGTTTCCCTGACCCTGATGCCTCCCAGATTCATTCAGACCTTCCCACAGTAGTGAGGATACCAAGGTTTTTTCAGCAGCCAGCACCACTCATACCCCAGAGATCTTAGGGCTCAGGGTGAGGGAGTCCTCAGGGAGGAGAGGCAGTAGAGCTGAGCCCCCCCCCCCACACCCACCTTCTTTTTCAGCTTGTGCCGGGCCCGCTTGGCAGCCCTGGCGCTGTTGGGGACTTTGGGCTCCGTGCTGTTGATGAATTCCAGCAGCTCATTCACATCTCGGTGGTCGACCGCAGGCTCCCCAGGGAGCCCGCCCAGGCTGCCCCCCTTCATTGGAAGCTCCTCTTTCCGCCTGGTCAGCCTTGAGCGGAGCTTCTCCCGGATCTCAGTATAATTCCGGCTCGTCGGGGCAGAGAGTGGCTGGGGGAGGGGGAGGTGCTGACATTACACCCTGGGCCTGGGAGGCCCATGGCACTCCCATCCGCTGGCACCATGTATGTTGTGAGAAGCCAGATAATTATTCTCTCTAGCATCAGCCACCAAGGCCAAATGGCTCCATCCTCAGTCGACCCTGAGCCGAAGCAGTGGTAGGTCTGAAGATGAGGGCAGGGCTTAGTGATCAAGCACTGGGGAGCCAGGGAAGCATGTTGGAGCCCCGGCTTCATCATTTGGAAGCTGTATGACTTTGGGTGAGTCACTCAGTTTTTGTGAACCTCAATTTTGTCACCTCTAAAATGAAGACAACAATGCCTCACTCAAAGGTGACTAGTAATTCTGAATTATCTCCACATTTCCTATCCTAAACTGCTCTACTCTAGGCAGCAGCCTTGTCCTCATCTCTTTGTGAGACTTCTGAATGGCTCCTGTCTGGAGACACATGTACCCTGACCTGAGCTTCCTTGGTGCCATCTGTGCTCATGGCCTGTACCTCAGCTGGCTGTCACACTTGGGGACCTTTGCTTCCACTCTGCCTTCATCATGCCCAAGCGTTCACTTCTCTGGGATTACACACGTATACATACTCATCAGAATCATAGCTTTCTCTCTGCCACTTCCTCTCCTTTTGCCTAAAGAAAAAAAGTCAATCTTAAGAGAAACCACGAGAAGAACACAGCCAATAAAACGTTAAGATATCCCGACCTCACAAATGTGCCTCCAGGCGGGAGCAAGCAGACGTAGGTGCCAGGACTCTGAATCCCAACATGGCGATCACTGGCATGATCAAGGGGTCTCTCCTCTGCCCCTGGCTGCCCAGCCCTCTGCCCAGGCAGGCTCACTCACCGCATTGTGGCCGAAGAACTCACAGTAGCAGCAGTCACAGAACTTCCCATCGCGGGGGTGGGTGGAGGACGAGGTGCAAGAGCTGCGCTCAGAGCTGCTATCCTCTTCCTCGCCCAGACCCTCATCTGCCTCACAGGCCAGGCCACTGTGTGCAAATTTGTGCCCCTTGCACCCAGGGTCCCTGCTGCAAGGGAGAAGGGCCCAGAGGTGAGAGTGGGTGGTGTAGGCACAGAACATAGCAGGAGCCTAGAAAAGTACCCCAATCCCCAGCCACCATTCCAGCTGCCCTCCACCACTTGTAAAGATCAGAGTCTCAGGTATCACAAATAAAGTCTGACCCTGTGCAAGTTTCCTGCATACACCTATTTGAGGGTCTACGTGGATACCTCCTCTCGAGCTCACTGTTTTACCAAGCCTTGTAATAGTGGGCTGTTATCATTTGTCTTTTAAACTAGTGAACCTGCCACTTGCATTCTGGAGTCAGATTACACAGCACAACAACCTTGCAGAGCAAGTGTTGAGTGAACAGGAATATGAACTGACTCATGGGCTGGTGGCTCTTCTGGTATAGCCCCAGATGATCAAAGAGAACAGTTTTTCTTCTTCTTGTCCAGGTCCTTACAGCACACCTGAATCTTGTATCTGTGTCAGTAGGTAGAGCTTCCTTACTCAAGAGCTCTGTGATGAGAGAAAGCAGGTGTGTCTCATGGGCCGCAGACTACAAGAGCCACTACTGCTCAGATGGAAACATACTCAGCATGACACCTAGCCATCCTTGAGTCCTCTACAAACCCACACCTTCTCTCCACTTAGCACTGTGGAGACTGGGCACAGAGCACTTGGCTTATCTGCCCACAGGTAGCAAACAACAAACTCCTGTTTCCCTGTGCACAGAGTTCACGCTTTCTCCACTTACATTCTGCCTCTGAACTCTGGCAATGAGTTGGGGCAACTTATATTATAAACAATATTTTCCCAGGGCAAGGATGAGATAGGCTGAGAGGTCCCTGAATCAAAGCTGGGAAGAAGCAGAGCCCCACGATACAGCAGCAGGAATACTGCAGAAGCTGGTCTCATATTTGAGGGAGAAATAAGAGTAAGGTGACAGTCTAGGACAGGCCAGGGTAGCCCATGTCTGCTTCTGGAAAGGTTAATAAATACGGTAGGGTGTAGAAAAGCAGTAGTTGTTACCAATGGTGCCTACAGGACTTTATTTCACCTTCACCAGTGTTCTGAAGATACAGTGGACTGCTACTCTTCACTGGTGGGTACGTGGATTCGGAGAATCCTATAAAAGCAGTTCTCCCAGCTAGGCTCTTTCCTGCTAGGGATCAACCTCAGGGCCTTCTGCACCGACTACAAAGGGAATCCCCAGCACACACATGTGCTCTCCCTCCCTCCCTCCTCCCCCTTTGGATAAAATTGGTCTTTCTAAACAGCTGAGGCTGGCCTTCAACTCTAGATCCTCTGGCCTCTGCTTCCCAACTGCTGGGATCATAGGTGTGTAGCACTCTGCATGGGAGAAAGCAGCGTGCCAATGTGTGTTAAGAAGCCTTCCAAGAAATAAGAATCCTTCCAAGAAACAATGGTGAAAAGTATAAAAGAGGGAAAAGCTTTAGGGCAGGACAGCTTTAGATGGTATTTTATAATGACGGAATGACCTAAATGTTCTGCAGCTGGAGACCAGCGAAATTAATATTCTCCAGTGCTAAATACTGAGGATTGAGAAAAAAACATAGGAATACGGTACTCTTAGTGAAATGTCCAAGTCTGTGCTGACATCAAAAGACATGTGAGAGCACACGTCAAGAGTGGTGGCAGCAGGCAGTAAGATCTCAGACCGGAAAATACAGATCTATAACAGTGTCAACCTGTTACAAAGGCTGCCTTCAATACACTCACTTTCAAATAAAGGCTAACAGAACCACAGAGCTGCTTCTGGGGCTCTACAGGGCCCAGATCTATTTAAACCCAGGCTTATCACAACAGGACTTCTCTTAGCTACAAATTTGGAAATGAACCAGTGATGGCACACACCTTTAATCCTAGCACTCAGGAGGCAGAGACAGATCAGATGGATCTCTGAGTTTGAGGCCAGTGTGGTCTACAGTGAAGAGTTCCAGGACAGCCAGGACTACACAGAGAAACCCTGCCTTCAAACACAAAAACAAGTTGGAAATGCTTCAATGTCCAGAGATGGAAAAACATTAAAAAAAAAATTATGCTACAACTGTACAGTAAGATATTACAGGGATACTTAAGTCTTAAACAAAGTTTTAATTAGGGAAATAATCACGATATTTAAGAAGTGTTGCCACACAGGCCAGAGGTGGTAAGAAACACCTGTAATCCCAGTAGTAAGAGGCTAAGGCAGGAGGATCACAAGTTAGAAGGCTAGCTTGGGCTACATGGCAAGAACCTGTCTCAATATGAAGAAAATAAAATTTGCTACATAAAATATTTACCAAATATAGACTAAATGATGCCATTCATATACAGAAGTATCTTCAAGAAAACAGGCCATAGTGCTCGAAGTTTCTCTTCAGGTTGTGAAAACCCTTCCCTTTCTTACATCACCTTTAAAAAATTATAATTGAAAAAAACGAAAAAAAAAACCACCCTAAATTTAGAGCTTATTTGTTTTTAGTGCTAAGGAATCCTTCACAGGCCTACTCTAGCCATTTCTTCCAGCCCAATCTACACTTTGTTCTCAGCGAGTTTTCCAAACCCTTAGGCTCCAGTGAGCAGGGAGTGGCGCCTTTCATGGCACTCACTTACCTGTGAGTGCTAGGGAGTGGCTGAGAGCTCGGGGGTGGGAGGAGAGGCCCACCACAGTGCCCGCTGCAGTGCCCGTTGCAGGGGTGGCTGCACCCCGAGAGTGGTGGAGGCATCTTCAGGAGTGGCATGCTGGTGGAGGGCAGATGAGGGCTCTGACATGGCCCTGGGGAGTGGGTGGCAGTGGCAGCAGCCATAGGGCACTCTGAAGCCTGGGCAGGGAAAGGTGCTGCTGGGGTGGTGGGCAGCAGGTGTGGGTGGGACGTCGAGCTGAAGGAACCAGGGTGAGAAGGAATCAGAGATGCTGGATGCGGGGGAAGGCCAGTGGGGCTATTAGGGGGAGCAGTGAGGTCTGAGTGCTGGTGGTGCTCCGAGACAGGGAAAGCCTCACCTGTAGGTGGAGGGGAGAAAGATGGGTCAGATCTGGAAGGAAAGCCCACAGGCTCACTGCCACATCATCCTGCTTCCAGTGACCAGAGGGCACAGCCTATAGCACAAGGTGCCCTAAAGTGTCTGGGCAGGCATTCTGTCGGAATGGTTCGAGCATCCCACGCCTACAGAGGATGCAGCTCAGCTGCGGTATGAACAGAGAGTGTCCACTGTTTCTCCAAGTCTCTTAGGCTTAAGAAAGGAAGCTATAGCAACCTTGGGATCTACCTCAGGCATACATGGACCAGAGCAGCCAAGGTATGCCTGACAAGGCTTTGAGGAGTCTTCAGCTCATGGACTGGAACAACGTACTCAATTCACATAACTATAAGACAGTACCATTTGAACAACTCTCCCGTTCATCTAGAAGTATGGCAGTAATAATCCAAAAGCTTTCTTTCTCCTCTGAGTCTTGAGTACTGGTATTGAGTTTAAAGAGATTCCTGTGGCCTGCCAGCCTGCCAGTCTTTCGGGGCAAATAGTGCTGTCTTATCTATCCCTAAGCTACAGAACAAGTCCAAGGAGGCCTCAAATGAGAGGCAGCTCAGCCTGTCAATGGGATAGAGGGCAGGTGTACACGACCTAAATCTCATTTCCTGAGGCTTTCCCAAGGTACTTGTTCCCTACACAGTATCAGGAACACCCTGGGCCCAATGTCAGTAACAACAGTGAGGGCACACTTCTCTGTCAGCAGTATTTTGTAACTTCAGAGTCTTGCAGAAGGTCTTCCAGAGATAGTGAAGGTCTTGGTTGTCCTGCTGCCATCAGAACAGGTCCATGTTTACTTATTTTATTAACCGAATTCCTCACTGACTGAGCCAAAGTAGAGTCAAACAGCTACCTACATAGAAGGGGGCCCAGAACTTTCCAAAGCTTAGACTCACCAGGGATGGCAGGAGGACTCCCAAGCGAGCTGCCTGGCACAGCCCCGCTGGAGTGTGGGGAATTCCAGAGGCCTGAGAGCTTATGTGCTGACAGGAACGAGCTGGGATCCCAGTCCCCTGAGTTCCCATGGCAGGAAGAGGAGGAGGAAGATGAGGATGAGGAGGAGGACGAGGATGAATGAGAGTCACCCCCACAAGACTGTGATTTGCAGGATGTATGTGACAAGGAAATCTGGAAAGGAGAAAGAAAAAGGCTCATGGTCAAACAGTGTGCTGACCTGCTCTGTCAGGCCTTAGGTTACGGCTGAGGCACAATCAGCATAGGCCCAGCACTGGTAAGGACTATGGTGTTCCTGGTTGTGTGACTGTGTGGACAATGGGTAGAGCATCTACCATAGGTAGACCCTAGCTCTGAACAAGGGCCATCTGATGGTGAAGAGCTGCCAAGAAGATGAAAGGACTTTAAATCACAAGTGTGGTTTAGTGCTCATGCTCCCCTGGCCCCTTTCCTTCTTCCTTCAGGTTATTTTTTAAAAATGTTTGAGACTATTTTTATTTTATGTGTATGAGTGTTTCTGACTGTATGTCTGTACACACAGTACACTGAGACCAGAAGAGGACATCAAATCCCCTAGGACTGGAAATACAGTAGGTTATGAGCCACCATGTGGGGTTCTCTGAGAACCAAACTCCAGTGCTCTGGAAAGGGCAGCTAGTGCTCTTAACCACTGAGCCATCTCTCTAGCCTCAGACTTTCAATTATTTTTAATTCTTTGGGTATTTTTTGAGACCAGGTCTTTCTATGGAGCCCTGGGTGTCCTGGAACTCACTAGGTAGGAAAGGCTGGCTTCAAACTCACAGGAATCTGCATGCTGAGCACTGGGGCTGGAAGGGAGTGCCACCACACTCAGCCCGTCCTCCGTTAGGATGTACATCTGCATATGATGTGTGCATGTGCGTGTCTGTAAGTGCAGATGTTTATGAGTCACAGAGCACAAGTAGAGGCCAGAGGCAACTTTGGATGCAGGTCTTCCCTTTCCATCTTGTTTCAAACAGGGTCTCCTTGTTGGTTTGCCATTGTGTAAGCAAGGCTAGCTGGCCCACCAGCTTCCAGGACTGTCCTGCCTCCACCTCCCATTGTACTGCAGGAACATGGGGATCACAGATATGCTCTCCCCCATCTGGCTTTATGTGGATTCTGAGGACTCAAACTTAGGGCCTCAAGCTTGTGTGGCAGATGCTTTTTCCCTCTGAGTCACCTCCCCAGATCAACTGACTTCCTTCCTTCTTCTCCAGCACTAAGGAATGAATCCAGAGCTTTGTACACACAAGACAAACATTTTACTACTTAGCTACATTTCCAGCCGAGTCTGGGTGAATGGAAGTCTAGATAACTGGAAGTCTGAGTAACTGGAAGTCTGGGTAAATGGAAGTCTGGGTAAATGCAGAGTCTGGGTGAATGGAAATCTGGGTAAATGGAAGTCTGGGTAAATGCAGAGTCTGGGTGAATGGAAGTCTGGGTGAATGGAAGTCTGGGTAAATGGAAGTCTGGATAACTGGAAGTCTGGGTAAATGGAAGTCTGGGTAAATGGAAGTCTGGGTAAATGCAGAGTCTGGGTGAATGGAAGTCTGGGTAAATGGAAGTCTGGGTAAATGCAGAGTCTGGGTGAATGGAAGTCTGGGTAAATGGAAGTCTGGATAACTGGAAGTCTGGGTAAATGGAAGTCTGGGTAAATGCGGAGTCTGGGTAAATGCGGAGTCTGGCTAGTTGACTCACACGGCAGTCTTTCAGCTTCTAGTCTTTACTGATATCTTCTGACTGAGGCACACCTCAGACCTCCACTGATCTGTTTCATACTGCTGGCCTTTCAAGTGGCCACCAAGCTAAAGGCATCAGGGTCAGGTGACTGACAGGATCAAAATTACCTACATCCACTAGTAGGCCTGTCTCTTCTTCCCTCAAATCTGAACCCAGCTTGCAAATATTAAGTGCAGTCTGGTGGTTTCTCTGAGCAGCCTGGGCAGAGCCTCCTGTGGCCAGGGGAAAGAGCTCAGCTTCCTGAGGGAGGGAGCAGCTCTGCATCCAGGGTCACCTGTCAGCTGTTACCTACCGCCACTGCATGGTCTCCACCTGTCTGCCTCTCCTCCTCCATGCTCTTTCGGCAGCTCTGGCAGACCCATAGAGGCATCTCGCCTAGGAGATTCTTGACGAGCTTTGGCATGAAGTCAGGGGGCAGCTTCTCACCCTGCAACACCAGTCCATTTTGTGAAGGGCCTTCTTCCCAGCCTTTGCGCTCCCGGTGACACAGCAGGCAACAAGTCTGCACAGACTGGCTGGAGGTAGGGGGAACCTGTCCAACACACAGACACAGGGGTTCCCAGGAGGGGGAAAGGCTGCCTTAGAACGATGCTGACATCATTAGTAACACCACGTATCACGTGCCAGGCACTGACAGGCACTTTAGAAATATAAGTTAGTTTTAGTCCTTGTGACAGCTCTGCAAACCAGGTGTTTTTATTCCCATTTTTTCAAGATGAAGAAACAGATTTCGAGAAGTTAAATGAGTTGCCCAAGGTTACAGAGCTAGTGAATGGTTGAATCCCAGTAAATGTGACTCCAAAACTCATGCTCAGATGTCCTCAACATATCAACAACTACAGAGATCCTTCTTCCCTCTCTGATGAGCCTAGGAAGGGCCACAGATCTATGCAGGCTACAGACCAGTCCTCACCTAGAAGGAAGATGGACTTTCTGTCCTTGGAGAGTTAGGAGGAACATGTACGTTTTCCAGAGAGATGAACAATTAATTCCTTTAGCACTGCAGTGGGATTTTAGAGAAGGATTTGTAGAATTGGTAAACAAACAGGGAGAGACTGACCCTGGGTAAGGATGGTGGAAAAAACCCTGGACTCTGGGTCAGACAGACATACACTCCATCTCAGCCTCAGCACGAGTAAGCTGACAACCTTGAGCAAGCTATTTAACCTCCCTGAGCTCTGCTTCCTACCCACCCTAAGAGTTGTACAGGCATGCCACCGCCCAGGCCCAGTAACTGAGTCAGCCTGTTTCTTCCCTCTACGACAAATCTGACCCAGTCATTTCCACTGGAAGGTTTCCTTTCACACTGGGGTCCTGGCTGGGAACCTACTGATATTTTTAGGTCCAATTAATGATTTCCTCTATTTTCCAGCCCTAGTCTCCCTCCACTGACACTGCGCATGGCCCATCCTTTGGACCGACAGGATGTTAGCAGACAAACTGCAGCACCAATTTCAATAGAGTATATGCACGTCTTGTATCTTTGCATGGATGCATGATCTTGTGCCTCTGACACACCATGAGGGAACAGCCAGACTCCTGCCTCACAGGTGGGACCTGGAGAAAATAGGAGTGGTCCTACCTAACCAGCCAGTTGACCAGATCTGAGTGAGCCCAGCTGAAGGCCTGACTAGACAGGCCTGCTCAGAGCTGCAGAAACACCCCATCAAGCAGCAGGTTTAGGAGAAGTCGTGAATAGAGTTGTTTTAAGCAACTAGGTTGCAGGTAGTTTGTTCATAGTAACAGACAACGAGCATGTAACTTCCAAGTTTACCCTCCACTAGGTAATGTGTTTGTAAGGGTGTGTTGTTTCCTGTGACATCACCTCCTCACAATGAATTGGGACTAGAGTATCCTTTTGTCAGCCAAGCTGTCATCCACTAACCTGGGTCCCAGTGTCTCACCAAAGAAAGGAACCAGCAGTGACAATGAGAGTACGAGGAAAGACTCAGGGAAGTGTAGGGACTGGGGAGAGAGTCTCCAAGATAGACATTTCACAAGTGGAATTTATAAAACTCAGGTCAAACACTCTGCCAAAGGGCTGCCTCAGTGAGCAAGGCAGCTGCTTAATGGTGAGTGCACACGGAACTCATCCGTGCCACTTCACAATTATGGCAGCTAACGAAGAAGGGTTGGAGAAATGAAGGCAAAGGAGGACGTTCTGAAATGTAAGCATAAGCATGTATTTGCTGTGTGTCTGCGTGCACACAGGTAAGATGACAAGTTGCTAGAGTTGCTCTCACCTCTCACCATATAGGTACTAGGGGCTGAACTCAGGCTGTCAAGTCTGACAGCAAGTTCCGGTAGCTGTTAAGCCATCTCACGGACCCAAAGGGGGAGCTTTTGAGAACAGCACTTAGGACACTTTTCAAAGGTGTAGGGTGAGTTATAGTTAACTGCAGGAAGACAGAGGAAGGCCCAGCATGCAAGGCTTAGTACCTAGTGGTACAGAAGAATGCCATGGGCAACCTGGGACTAGGATCCTCACAGCAGCCCTCACCTCACAGGGACGTGATGCTCCTAAAGTGTTTTCTTTGTTTTATTTTTTGAAACGGGGTCTCATGAAGGCCAGGCTGGCGTTGAACTCATTATTTAGCAAAGGGTGATCCTGAATTCCTCGTCTTCCTGCATCGACTTCTAAGTGCTAGGATTATGGGCATGTGCCAGCATGTCTGGTCAGGAAGAGAAGTTTGAAATTAGTAAAAATCTTCCTTAAACCAGTCTTCTCTCCTTTCTCTCATGCTAGAGATCAAAATCAGGAACATGTACATGTAAAATTTTTATATAGTCTATAAAGTACAATATGTAGGGATTTAAAATATTTTGATTTTATGCTTTTTTTTTTTGAGACAGTGTCTATGTGGCCATAGGGTAGCCCAGAACTCGATTTGTAGGTCAGGCTAGCCTTGAACTCTAGAGATCCACCTGTCTTTGCCTTCCTAATGTTGGGACAAAATTCAAGTACTACTATGCCTGGCTAATATATGACTTTGAGCAATAATTCAAGGGCATACTGTATACCCCACAGTACAAAAAAAATGCCTTCTCAGGGCTGGAGTGATGGCACAACAGTTAAAAGCACTGATTGTCCTTCAAGAGGACTTGAGTTCAATTCCCCGAAGCTACATGGAAGCTCACAAAAGTGTCTGAACTCCATTTCCAGAAGGCCCACTACCCTCTTCTGGCCTCTGCTTGCACATGGGCATGTACATGGTACACAGTCGTACATGTAGGTAAAATATTTATATACATAAAAATTTTAAAATGCTTTCTCTACTTTCTTTCAAAAGCAAACACAGAATTGTTATGATTTTACGTGTGTGACCAATGTGACTGTACTCAAGAGTCACAGTAATTGTGGGAAGAGCCAAACGTTGGCTCTGGTGCTCACCCTGCGACCATCATGCAGAAGCTGTCTGATACTGACCAGGTCCTACTCACTCACTCTGCTCATCTAGAACGGGATGAAGTCCTAACTGTGGGCCAGCTCTGAGAATGCAGTGTGATAAAGAACCTCCTCCAGCTCAAAGCACACAGTTCTTGGCTACACAGAGGGTACTAATTACATGACAGGAAACAAGGAAACAGCACATCACTACCGAATCTTATACGACTGAGAACTAGTCAAATACAATGAATGCAAGATATTAGAAATCTTTTTTTTTTTTGGGGGAGGGGGACTTGGGGGTTGACAGGATCTCACAGTATAGCTGAGGCTGCCCTTAAACTTGTAGTAATGCTCCTGCTTCAGCCTTCTATGTGCTAGGATTACAGTTATACACTTGTCTGGCTTCTGTTAAACATCTTAGTCTCTCCTTTAACTCCAGGAAGTCAAAAGCTTAAGTCCCCCCAATATCCTGCACCTCCCTGCTTCTCCTATTGTTAAAGGGGATCTTCTACTTAAGACCTGTTCCTCTCCATTTTCGGACAAAGAGTTAAGGCCTTAAAGACCTCAGCATACATCCACACCCTCTAGACAATCCTAGAGAGGAATGGCTGTCCTGGAGCTCACTATATAGATCAGGCTGCTCTCAAACATGTCCGCCCGCCTTCCCAAGTGTTTCCTATTGAGTGCAGATACTCAGTGCAGCAGGGCCTGACTCAAGGCTAACACATCAGACCTGTGAAGCATCCTCCTAGCATTACGGTTGGCAGGCAGCTTGGTGAGACTATCCTTGAAATTACTGCTTCCTACAGACAGCAGGTTCTCACCTCTCTATCCTGTCCCTCTACCTGTATGGCTCCAATTCAAATCTGCAAGGATTATAACAAGATGTTCCCAGATGAGAAAATAATGACTCTTTCTAAAGCTAAATTAGGCCACAAAATAAATGAATTAGCCATTCATGAAAGTCATTCTATAGGGCAGGCTGTCTTTCCTGATAAAAAAGCAACAGACAAGGAAGCTAATTAAGTTTTAATTGAAGCAGACACCACCTGCACTGCACAGAGTTGCCCAAAGGTCTAAGTAACAGTAGAAAAAAACCACTCAGTGAGAGGGATCAAGACAGTAGGCACTTAATTTCTAAAGTAGGCCCTTTGGCTGTTTGTTCCTAACAAGTCTACACCAGGGATTAGCTATTCACAATGCTCTCTAGTACACCTCACTTATGACCCACCGTGCAATTTGGAAGGGCCACCCCCCAAAGCCCTCAGGCTTTGGTGTCTTTCTCGGGATACAAGATGCTATGGGGATAGGAGATTTGCTGTTTTTTTTTTTTTTCTTGTTTTGAGAAAGGGTCTCGCAGCCAGGGATGGGGTATGGGGACAATGGCATACACACCTTTAATTTCAGCACTTGGGAGGCGGAGGCAGAGGAATATCTAAAGTTTGAGGTCAGACTGGTCTACAGAGTGAGTTCCAGGACAGCTTACAGAGGCTTTACAGAGAAACCCTGTATCGAGGGGAAAGAAAAGAGGCAAGGGCCCTCACTATTAAGCCCAAACTACCTCTGAACTCAGTCTTCCTGCCTCAGCCTCCTGAGTGCTAGGACTATAGGTGTGTGCCACTATATCTGACTGTCTCTTGACATTTTTATCTCTGCTTTACTTTCTATTTATTTTTCTAAGTATGTTTGTTATTATTTTTAATTATGTCTATATATGCTTACAGGTGCTTTTGAAAGTCAGAAGAATTAGAGATAATTTGTAGGCAGTTGTGCGCCACCCCAAAATGGGTCCTGGGAATCAAACTCAGGGCCTTTGCAAGAGTAGTTCATGCTCTTAATCACTGAGCCATTTCTCCAGCTTTCAGTCTGAAAGTACATTGAGAGTGTGTGTGTGCGTGCACAGGTGCATGTGCGTGCATGCAGTATGGGAGTACATGTACACAATGGCACATGGGTGAAAGTCAGAAAACAACTTTCAGGAGCAAATTCTCTTTCTACTATGTGGGTCCAAGAATTCACCTAAGGTTATTAGCCTTAGCAGTATGAATCTTTAACGCTGAGCCCTCTTGCCAGCCCATATCTCTGTTTCATTGTTAAAGGTGGTGAGACTCCTAGGGCCTAAGATATGTCACAATTCCTTTAAT